AAAGTCGTCTAGATGTTAGAAATTAAAATAATTAAGTCGTCGGTGGGATTTGCGTCTCCCTGGTTACACTTGTTTGACAGTTGTTTACAGCAATTATTAAAGACAGCTTATTATTGTTGCAACCGCAAGCGCAAATTTAGTGCGAAAATGGAAATCCTAAACGAAATTGAGTCTAATTGAGGCTAATGATGTAGTAGCACGTTTGGGGCCCTCCAAGTCCGGAATACAGTATCGGTTAGCGTACAAGCACTTCCAAGAGTGGTGCGATACAAGATGAGTATGGCAAGTTATCGAAGACGTTTTACTGGCATATTTTAATACAATGAAAAATGAAAATAAATGGAAATTTTCTACAATGTGGTCACGATACTCTATGATAAAATCCGAGTTAGTTATTAGAAAAAATGTGGATATAAGCAAATTTTTAAAGTTACGTGCCTTTCTGAAAAAAACAAGCGAAGGATATACTGCAAAGAAGTCTAAAGTTTTCACTAAAGACGAGTTTGATAAATTTTTGTTTGAAGCGCCAGATAAGTTGTATTTATGATTAAAAATAAAAAAAATTATATTGCAAAGCATGTAGTATACTCTACTAAATTATAAAAATATTTCAGATTGTTTTGTTAATTGGGGTTACCGGCGCCTGTCGATGCGACGAAATGGTAAAAATGAAGACTGTGGACATTGAGGATAAAGAAAATGTAATAATTATCAAAATCCCAGACAGTAAAACACGACAAATTAGATCTTTTACGATAATTGGTCAAAACTACATTAAACTGTATAAAAAGTATGCATCACTGCGGCCTGAAAATTTCACAGAAAACCAATTTTTTATCAAGTACCAAAATGGAAAGTGTTACCGAAGCGTTATGGGAATACATTAGATCAGCGCTGTAGCCCAAAAAGTAGCTAGTTATTTAAATTTGAACGATGCAAGTGTATACACGGGTCACTCTTTACGACGAACTTCAGCAACACTTTTAATTTATGGAGACGGAAATCTAGAATGCCTCAAACGAAATGGGGGCTGGAAATCAAGCATAGTTGCCGAAGGATATATAGAGGATCCAATAAGAAATAAGAACGATAATGCTCAAAAAAGTTTAAACCCTCATGATTCACCAACATCGGGAATGATTGCTGAAAGTTGTTCTCGACCATCAGTATCATCAACCATTACCAATGCGTATCAAGAGTCGGGAACATTTTTGCACGGTTTCAATTTGAAAATGCCTCATTAACTAAGTGTACTTTTAATATTACTATAAATAAGAATGATGTTTAATTGTTGTTAATGACATTTGTGTTGTTGCTTTGTGACATGTTTCATATTGTTGTCATGACAAAATTTTTCGCTCCGCCTTAAAGAAATGGGAAAAAAAACTACTGCCGGCGGAGACATCAAACTTTGACAGGATCAAGTTAGATAAGTAAAGTCATTATTATTTGACCTTTGAAGAAAAAAGTATTTGAGCTGTTGATCTTTGGAAATTTTCTTGAACTCTTGATACCTTAATTTGGGCACCAACATTCAAATTCATCTTAACTGTTTATTATTGATAGTAAGAGAGAAAACCTCGATCCAGTAGGTAACATGTATTGTTTGAACAATTTAACTTTCTTAAGTCAAGTTCTTGAAAAACAGGTAAAATAAAAAGTAATTTCAATATTATATATTCGTTCTATATTTTAAGTTGTTGCTGAGTTTAATGAAGAAAATTTTCCACACGACACTGAACCTTTCTCTTCACCTTCGCTTTTCCCTAACCGGACGCACATCTGTGCCTGAGTTCGACTGCAAACAGAAGTGACCCTAGTTAATTAGAAGCGTATTTATCTTTGTATCTTGTCGCTGCTTTTCCAGAACTTCGGTAGTTCGGAGAAGTGGAAAACTTGGGGTAAGTCGTTGGAATGACACTTTGAAAAATTATTTTGCCACGCTCCGCCACTTTGCAAAATGGCAACAGTCGCAACCGATATTTAAAGGAGGCTTGAATGGGCCTACGTAAGAAAAATCGTTTCTCACAGCTTCACACAGAAAATAAAAGCCGAAAGCAATCTAGACATCGTGAAAAACACTTTTTGTTCAAGAATGACAGATGGTAAATATACTGTTTTAGAAAAAATGCGAATATTGTGATTGACTAATGATCTAATCAATGGGGGTAAAATAGAAAGCAAGAAACGTGTATTTTAAAATGTTAAAGATTTATTTCTTATCTAAGCGTTTTAAATTAGGTTTATTTTTATATTATTTATTATATTTTAATTATAATTAATATTATTTATTAGGTTATTATATTTTAGGTTATTTTATAACCGACCAATTTAAAAATTTACAGATTAATAAAATTGGTTAGGTTTCTGTTTTAAAATTAAATTACTTCTGAAAGAAGTACACAAATACACGAAAAATCAATCATAGATTACTTTTTGGTAAGTAGCAACAAATGGAAAAAAAGTACAAGACCCGAAAGTGAAAAGAGGCTCAGAGACTGGCAGTGTTCATCATGTAGTAATAATGAGAATGAGAACAGCAAAGAAAGGGAAAAAAGAGGAGAAAGGTAGTAAATGAAAAAGTAAAAAGCTACAAATTAAAAGAAAAAAGATATAAGAAGATATTCCAAGGAAAGTTAGACAATATTTGGAATTATATGGCAAAAACTGCAAGTATAGCAGAAAAGTGGGAAATCTCAAGACCAACTTATTCATGGCTGCTGAGGAAACTTACGGGAAGACAAAAATAGCAATCACTAGCATGAGGAGAACTGAATGGTGGACCGGTGGAACTGAAAACGGTGGGACGGATGAAATACGAAGGAAAATAAAGAACAAAAAAGAAAAATGGAAGAGATATCTAAGTACAAAGCGCCCTGAAGATTATGAGGCATATAAAGAAAAAAGTAAAGAGGTTAAAATAGCTGTGAAAGCAAGAAAAAGAAAGGTCATAGGAAAATTTTGGACTAAAAATGACAAATAATAATTGGGAAAAATCAAAAGCTCTTCTATGGCGCATTAAAAACAGTTCAGACAAAAGAAAGAACACATGATGCGAATATAAAAGACAAGAATTTAAAGGTAATAACAGAAGAAAACCAAATATTAAAAAGATGGAGAGGACATTTCAATAAGCTAACTCATACAGACGTAGACAACATAGTGGATATACAAGAAATAATTGAAGAACAAAAAGTAGAACCCATCACAACAGAGGAACTAGAAAAGACATATGAAAGAGTTAAATTAGGCAAAGCACCAGGCAAGGATCATATCATCCCGAAATGATAATATTCATGGGAAAAGAGGGAGTGGACTGCATGAAAGAACTAATAAATGATGTCATAAAGAGAGCAGAAATACCACAGGACTGAAGAAAGACATTATACTACCAATACACAAAAAAGAGCGACAAGACAAACTGTAATAATTACCGAGGTATTACTATATCAAGTATTCTTGGAAAGGTATTCGCAGAATACCTCCCCATTTATTATTATATATTTATATATATGTATTATACAGTTATTTCTCTTTAATTTGAATTTGACCATGACTTTTGCAAAGTTGTTTACTCTTAAATCATTCCACGCTGAAGCTATCCAGTAAGACACATCCTTAACAGTGATCTTTTCAAGGCTGCTGTCAACACTAGCCAACGAACTTGCATCTAGATGAAATTATGCATTGGCCAAAAAAGAATAGTTTTTCTTGGTAGGTTTTTCTATTTTTAAGTAAGCCTTAATAACGCCTCAATAAAGTTACTTGTGGTTAGTAAACAAGACCTCACTAATTGTCAATAATGAAACGTTAATAAAAGTTAACCATCTTAAGTACCTAGGATGTTGGATAAACGGGACACTAAATCCTGATAAAGATATTAAAAACTCGTATAGAAATTGCAAGAGGAGCATCTATGAAACTTAAATCTATTCTAAGCAATTCTCAGCTGAACTTACAACTGAGAATTAATTTCCTAAAATGTTAGGTGTATACTATATTATCGTATGGATGTGAAACCTAGATTAGGAAGGTTTTCATGATGAACAAATTAGAAGCCTTTGAGACGTGGTTATATCGTAGAATGCTCAAATCTCATGGGTTCAACACATTTCAAACAGAGAAGTCTTGAACAGAGTAGGTCAAGGTTAAAGTGGCTTAATAAAGATGATAAAAAAGAGAAAACTCGAATAACTGGGGCATATAATGAGATTAAGCAGGTACAGGATAATGCAGTTGATACTCAACGGAAAGATCGACGGAAAAAGAGGAATTGGTAGGAGGAAATACTCATGGCTCCGAAACTCTCGTCAATAGACTCGCTCATCAGCAGATGAATTATTACATGCTGCGCAAGATCAAGAACGATATCGGCAAATCCTCATGAAAGCTACACACGCCTAAAACTTGGGCACGGTACTCAAAGAAAAAGAAGGACATTTTAAATACATTTTATAAATTTCAAACCCTCGGAATCGTATTTTTTTACCATGGTGGCACTTAACGTGTTAATTATTCAACTTTGTGAAAACTTTTGTATTAATACGTGACAAATTTGATCTCCGCGCTGATTTCGAAGTTTCACTCATTTTATTTTAATACACGGTATACGGCACAAACTCTTGACGCCAGTTCAAGAAGCACTGCACAAAAAATTCCTTTCAGTTTTCTAATCGTTAGTAGTTATTACATAGTGTTTGCTCTCCCTTAGAATACTTGAAGTATACTCAGTAATTTCATTTTTTTGTTCTTGCCCTTATAGTTTCATTGTTGACAAATACAAGAACCTGGCGTCTGTTTATTTATATATTTGTACAATCTCCATCTTAGAAAGACAAATACCTTATAGAATATATCTAGAAAAACAAAATTCCTGTAATTCTCTCATTCTTTCTTGTTTTCCTTTTTATGGACGGTACTCACTGTTTTAACAGTATTCTTACATTCTCAAAAGGTTGCATAGCCTGGTTATAAATTGTTATCCCTCATTCTTAAATTACTTCTGCTGCAATTTCGTTGGTTCCTGCTATTTTACTGTTATAAGTAGATGTTATAACTTCTTTTATTTTTTCAAGGGCCATATTTCCAATTTTTTTGCCTGATCGCTGCCGTTCAATTGCTACTCATTATTTTAATACAGTTTCTTATTTAACAGTTTTATGAAATAATGTTTTTACCTATTTGGCTTGACCGTCCTATCTCCTACTGTGTTTTTCTGTTCAATATTATCGTTGATTGTTTCTTTCCGCTTCTCGGTAGAGGATTCTTCTATATACTCTTTTTTATTTCTACTCTCTTTGTATTTTTTCTGAAATTACCTGAAATGTTCCAATAAAATCTTGTTTTATGTCTACTATCTGGTTAATATCTGCATCAAAAATTTTTGTTCCATCCTCTTATTTATTTAACGTAGTCGAATCTGTACTGAATGTTATTATACATATTTATTTTACATTATATTTTACTTTAAAAGTCGAAGGTATATGCTGTTAACCCAATTTTTTGAATAGCTAAATACCAAGCGTTTTAATAAAGTGTTCTTGACAACGTATATCTAAAGTGGAGAGACGCTATCCTTTCTCAATAATAAAAATTAATATCTACTATAAAAGAATTTATAGCATTCTCAATAATCATAAAGCAACTCCCACTCTCTCCGAGAGGAATTTAGTAATGAAAATAGTCCAGACAATAAAATAAATAAAAAAATTGCAGCACTTTTAACCGGACGAAGAGATTCCACAGTAAAGGACGTGGGCCGAATAGTTATTTACAATATAAACAAAATGAGAAGTAAGCACTGGCATTAATATTTGAATTAAAAGTAATAACGACATTTATGCTATACGCAACAATGTAATTTTTTAATATAATAGTAGTATGTAATAAGACGTGAGATTTTGAAGTGAGTGATAATTTTTGATATGTGAATCTGGAATATGAAATGTTAGCGATTTTTTTTAATATGATCTCCCTTACTTAATACTTATGGTGACAAATACTTGGAGATGTGTTAAGAAATAACTAAAGACTAACAACAACTGTTATCTTAGGTATACATTGGATAATTTAAAATTTAAATAAAGTTCAATTTCCATTTTTTTAGTAGTAAGATTTTTTGATAATATACAAATAACAAGACCGAAGATTCAAATAAACTTTGCGAAATAAAACAAACAATCAAAATAAAAATAAGAGAAGAAAAACTTAGGGTTAAGTATTATTTTTACAGCAGGTATAAATAAATTAGGCATATAACGTCTTAGCACGAGAAAACACCTCCATGTAAAAAATAGTAATTAATGCATCGGAAATACTAAAAATCAGAATGAAATTAAAAAGTTTCATAAAAAAGGTACATAAATATATACTGACAAAGATCTGATAGGCCCCCTATCATGAGAGGTGAGATTAAAAAGATTCTAATCTTGACAGTAATAATGCCGAGATTCTCAAGTTAATAATTGAGTTACACTCTTAACTGATTGAATATTATGAGGAAGGCCTTTAGAGAAAGAAAGTCACCCAAAACTCATAAAACATTTATATTCACAGGAATAAACCTAATAGAATTTTAAAAATAACTAATAATCGAATCGGTTTGCAAGATTAAATATTTAAAAAAACTTTAGAAAATTCTTCAGTAACAAAAGAAGTTCACCAAGAAGGTATATTTTAACCTATACTTTTTAATTTCTACCCAGAAATTGTCTTTTACACAGTATTTCATGATGCTTTAAAACAAAAAATGATGAATGGAAAGCTTGTTAATATTATTTGATATGTGAAAGATAACGCCGTTGTAACAAGCAGCTGGAAAAATCTGTACAATTTTACAAATAGTAAATGTTGTATCTAAAGTATGAATGATCTTTATAGGTAAAAGCTAAGCACCTATAGATACAAATACAGAATATATTAAAAAACACATGTATTTAAAAATGATCAATGAGACATGACAACAGAGACCAAATCCAGAATTGAGAAATCATGGTCAAGTATCAAGGTGAAGCACATACTTAACAAAGACTATTCATTGCTACAAAAAATCATATTGTTAGAATGTTACATATTTCCAGTTTCCAGTTAGTGTACGAGATAGAAACATAGACCATAACAGAACTGTCAATAAAAAGCTACCTACATTTGAAACATGTTTATATCGACGAATTCTACAAATATTGTAGATATAGACATATTAATAAAAATGAAGTTTTGCGCAGATTCGTCAAGCATAAATAAATAATAAAGAAAAGGAACTATTGATAACAGTTAAGCAAAGGGAAGTAGCTTAGTATGATTGTATATTAGAATTTATAAGGATGTTTTTTTGCAAATGATTGTTAAAGAAAAGATCGAAGAAAGACGAGGCATCAGACAAAAGAAGTTCTTGGCTGCAAAATTAACGTCAATGGTTTGAAATTAGAGATATCAGCACAATCATACGATTAGCACAAGTTAGAGTATAGTAGTGTATTCCAGTGTATGGTTGCCAACCTATCATAAAGAGAGGACACACCCAAATTTAACTTTATTTTCAGTTTATTTTTTTAATTTTGGATGAAATTGTTTATATTTGATGTAGTTAAGCCTGTTTTAATGACATTTCTGTAAAGTTATTCGAGAAAAGGTAATAGACGTTGAAATTTCAAAAAAGTTTTAGTTTGAAATTAGGTGTTTTTATTAATAATTTCGCGATATGTTTAGTCTCTTTTCAGTCATAAAATGTATGTGAAAAAACAACTGTTCTGACTCGGATACTTTTTTGTGACCGGACTAAAGGGAAACAACTTAATCCATTAGAACGGACATATTGGCGGCGAACCCTTAGGACACTGAAAGACATTTATCAGCATCGAAGTAAAATATTTTTACAGAATGATATTGGGTTTCCGTTCGATAGAAATATGTTGGTTTAAGCTTGTATAAAAAAAGTTTGAATATAAAGAAAGAATTAATACACTAAAACATAGTGCTAAGGTATAAAATATAATCATTCAAGTGAATTTGATTTTTTAGCTTTCGAGAAGAGCTTCATATCCATGTGATAAAAGAAACGCAAACGTAAGTTTTTTTAAGAACACAAATTTTGATTCTTGAAGTTATAATTCTATACGCACGGTCGGCGTTGGAAATTTGGATGGGAGTGAATCTGTGAAACTATTACATATGTAAGATAATGAGTAAGAGGGAGACAGAAGATATATTTTCTCTCTCTTCCTCTCTCGAGAATAAAAATGTTCCTTTTGTATATATATATATATATATATATAATATATATATTATATATATATATATATATATATATAATATACATATATATAATATAATATAATATGTGTTAATATTATTATTTATGTAATATGTTTTGTATTATTTATTAAACGCTTATAAATTAGTTTGAGCTTTTGTATTTCAAAATAATCACTGTTTGACCGAGAACTGCCAATTTTGAAATCCGTTAGTGTCATGTCTAATTGGCAAATCCTCTACGTGTTTGGTTCATACGCTGGTATTTGTGAGTTCGAATCCCAATTATGAATTTCCTTTTTTATTTTTAAAATATTTAAAAACCTCACATTAATCATATTAAATATATGTAATATACGGAAAAATGCTAAATTTTAGAAATACATAAACCGAGTTGTTTGTTTTTTATTTTTATCTTCGTAAAGTAAGTTATGTATACTGACAGTTTCAAATACTTATGAATATTACATTTTAATTTATATTGTATTATTATATTGAATTATGTTGCAGTATATTTATTGTATTGTAATTTTTATATTAATAACAAAATAAACAATGAATTTTACTGCAGAGTATACGTAAAAAATATTTTTTGCATTCAACACCTTTTACTACATATATGAAAATAAAAATATACATGTTCAATAAAATATTGATACAATCCTTTATTTACTATACTCCTATTACAGGTCAAATGTTTATATACAGTAAACGATGCACCATCTACCTATATAACTAATTCTTTTTTCTTTCTGCTCTCTCTTACCTATAGCATTACATATGTAATGATTGTGCAGATTGTGCAAATATCAATATGTAACGGCGAACGCGTGTATAGAAGTAAAACTTCTACCGGCAGTCCCACTGGACTACCACACCGGTTTTTTTACTATAGTTCTCTGCTAGGTTAACACAATTAAGCCATATTCTGAATCTCTTTTTATTGTGGCACCAATACAATTTACCATTTTTATTGGGAATAAGCTACAAGTTTACTTTAAAATAAGTTTATTTTTAGGCTTCGAGTTCCACTAAAAAAATCGGACGGGCATGTTTTCGACGCTGAAGTACCTGAGGGTCTTAACAGTACCACAGTATATAGAGGTTCCACAGTAGAACCACTCGTTTGTCGGCACTTTGATCTTAGGAAGTAATGCCGGCAAAGTACGAAATTGATAATTCACCAGTGGTAGATGCGGCGGAGCAAGCACGCTCCTTTGGTAAACCTTACAGAGCCGTATTAAAACTTTCTGAGCCTACTACTATTATTTATTAAAATAAAAAATGCGGCTTAATGTTAATATTACAAAAACAAAAGGTTTAATAAATAAAAAACAATATTACAATTCAATGTTTATATTTTTCAACGGTATTTAAAATATCAACGGTATTGCGCAAGTTTTAAATCTCAATGGTTTTTAATACATTGTACACGTCATATAAAAAGGTTAATTTCGAAGCTCTTACGGCATTACTATTAAGCCAGGTTTATAAACGGACATAGTACATAATCATAAGTCATGAACATAACTTTAACCACAATCATAATTCACAAGATATAAGATTGGTTTATAACTAGACATAATACCTAACCATAATATTTAAAAACTACTTCAGAAAATACAAACCTAACCAAATTTTTATAGATCTTAAAGAATTTTTTCTGGTCTTTAGATTCATAGAAAAGTGAAATAATTTTAAATAAATATGAAGATTAATAGAAAAGTTGCTTTGGCCATGGCAGCAGTCCCACTTTATTTAACAATTGTAGCGACTATATCTGCCAGAGTTCTTAACAAGCAAAGAAGAGTAAGAAGGTATAGTGTAACAC